AATAAATATACACAGTACACACACACACATATTATGTAAACAAAAACTTTTATTTTGGATGCGATTGATCGCGATTAATCGTTTGACAGCATCTCTCTCTTTGTCTCTCTCTCTCTATATATATATATATATATATATACTTTCTTTTTTTTATAATAATGTTTTTGTCCAATTAGATTCTCTCTTAAAAGAGAATATCCTTTCCCCCCGCTTTCAGATCTTCAATGTGCACCATCTAGGAAGTGGATGTCATTTATTTAATCTGAGTCATAATCAGTCAGTGTGATTTTGACATAAGCTAAAGGCTATTGGATATTTGAAAACAGGCGACCAGGCCTTTGACGTCCTGCTCCAACTTCATGTTTCTTTAATATGGGGTCTTTAATATCCCATCTGTGAGGTGGAGGTATACATGATGAAATGGCTCTAAAATATCAGCTTTCCACTTACAAGCAACAATCAACTCTTTTGGTTTAAATGTCTGTGGAGCTTTCTGGAACATAGGATGTTAAGAGGGAGATCAGTTTCCTTTGCCAGCCAATCAGTATGTCCACAGAGGTTTTAGGCAAGTAACCAAATTTGAATGCAGGAGTTTCCAGCATTTACTGCCAATCAGCAGCTGAGCTGGGATGCTGTATGGTCTTTTTCTCTAGTGGTTGCATTTCATTGCATCTCTGAAAAGTTTTGAAATGCTGTGAATGGGTTTCCCTCGCGTTATAAGCTAAACTCAGTCATGAACTCAAAACGAGTCTTAATATTAAACAGTTTTTGGTTTATTGTACTGATGTCTTGTACTTTATTATCATTCAACTGTGCAGTGTCCTTGAGTGTTTTGAAAGGCACCTTTTTAAAAAATCCATTATTATTATTATTATTAACCATTTAATTAATTGAAAGCTTAACACACAATACTTTATAGTTATGGAAGAAAAGGATTAGAATTAGGATGCAACATTGTTTCTAACCTTGTCTGCCTTTTCATTAAGTATCGTTTGCAAAGGAAAAATCTAATTATATAACATTATTGTCCATTCTAGTTCATTTTTTTCTCAATCTGTAACTTCAAGAAGAAATTAGTGAAATGAAGGCTCATAACGCGAGGGACATCTGTGTTTGCATTCAAGATTATTGTGTGGATTAAAGGAATAATTCGCCCGATAATGAAATCATTTACTCACCATCTTGACGATTCAAACCCATGTGACTTTCCTTTTTCAGTGGAGCACAAAAGGAGATGTTTAGCAGAATGTTTACGCTGCTCTTTTACATACTATAAAAGCAGACAGTGATCAGGACTAAAAGCTATGAAGAAGTAGGTCCATGTATCTGTTCGCTATATTTAAGTTGTTATTTGTTGGCATTTTTTCCTTCTTAGCTTGTGAGAACCAATGGCATTTGACATTTGTGAAGTGAAAACTTGATGTTGTTCCACAGAAAGAAAGTCATACAGGTTTTGAACAACATGAGGGTGTGTAAATGATGATTAATTTTTGTTTTTGGGTGAATAATCCCTTTAAAGTTGGTGAATCTTGCACTACTGACCCAATCAGTACTCGCCATGAAGCATCATGGATATACATGTTCATTTTACAAAGTGTTTAATGCAACGAAGGGTTCAGAATATCTATTATACAGCCTGTATCAAGATTTGCATTTTTGTTTAGTGATTGTGTTTCACAGAGCTGAATAGTTTGGCCTTGCTGATGATGATGCTGAAATGGCAAAATCCAAGAAGCAGCTGACGTTTGGTTGTCTGATGTCGCAACATCTGAAAAGCCTCTTTCATTTTGCATTTTCTCATATTTTAGGGCTGAAATGGATCTGCTGAGATATTGTCCTATGGCTGAATATGAGTCCAGTTGTGATCTCTGATGTGTCATTGGTTTTAATTATTTGGTTTTCTTGCTTCTCCACCTGTTTGATTTGTCTCTCAGGTATTTCCCGCCCCAGGTCAGACAGTGCTCCGCCCACACCTGTCAATCGGCTCAGTATGCCGACGCCCCCAACGACAACCAACACTACACCCCCTCACAACCGCAGGCACCGCCCCACCGCTGTTGTCAAGACAACCAGCAAAACCTCAACGGTACGACCATAAAAAACAGAAGCTCTTTGCCCTTCCTTTTTCTTTTTAGGGATTCGAGCGCAGAGTGCTGAAACCCTATTGTAACTGTTAGAATGGCCAAGGATCAGCGATCTCCACCTAAAACTGATCGGGCAGAGCAAACCGTAAGTCGTAGAGTCTTGAAACTTGGAGGGATGGTAGTACTCACACCATCTACAACGTCACCAAAGGCTCGCCCCAATCGGCCTGACAGGGGTGCTACAGCGATCAAAAGTATGAAATTGCTCATAACTCCTAAATAGTCGTGGAGCTTGGCCACTTGGAAGCGTTATAAGAGGGGGGAAAAAAACATTAAAATGGCTATAACTACGCAACCGTTTGTCCGATCGACATGAAAATTGGTATGCAGTGTATTTGTCCAAAGTGCCACAAGTGTTTCTAAGGACATTTGTGTCTCTCAAAAAACATGGCTGCCATTGGCCATTGAATTTTGAGCACCTATTAGACAAGGTCAGCAGAGGTCGATCGGAACGAAACTTGGTGGGCCTGTTTGATTCATGGCCCTAAAGGTCTGTGAGAAATTTGAAAGAAATAAGCCTTTAGAAAAGCCTATAAATCCTAAGCACATGTGACAGATGCTTCTAAACAAGCATGCAAAGTTTCACAGCAATCGGACCATAGGTGGCACTATAACAGTTAAAATGGCTTTAAAAACACTATATTTCTATGGTAAATTACCTCAAATTTTACAATTTTGTTCATATATTCAAATGTTCAATGTTCAAATGTTCATATATACAAGATCTTCATATTGTACGACCGATCTCCTCATTCTGAACAACTTTGCCTGTAGGACCACTGCTGTTGATCAGATTGCTCTTTAAATATTTGACATTATTTATTTGCGAACTCCTCCAGTCCGAGCATAAGTGGTGCTATAACAGTCAATAAATGTTAAAAATCATCATATTTCTATGGTAAAATACGTGGATTTGCCAAAAATGCTTTTTTCAATCATTGATTTAGGTGGTTACAGGCTTGCTAAATAATACGTAATGTCTTTTTTCATATGTGCTTAAATGCCTTAAAGTGCTTGAACCCTGATAATCGCTGCTTGCAGCTGTATTTTTGTTTATTATCCTGTTTCACTCAGAAATGCTTCACATTAATTCACATTAGGGCTGCACGATTAATCGAATGCGATTGTCATGCGTATCTTGTCAGTAAAGCCGGTTCTGTGATTAGTAGTAAATCTCCAGCACTTGCTTTCAGGTGGAGCAGCGTTTACTACACAGAGCCGTAGTTCACTGACAAGCTACGCAAAATCGCGTTCATAATCGCAGACGATTTAATCGCGCGATTATGAAATCGAAGAAATTGTTTTGGATTATGAAAGCTGTTTGCGTAGGTTGTCAGTGAACTACGGCTCCGTGTAGTAAATGCTGCTCCACCTGAAAGCATGTGAAAATACCACATTTAATAACATGTTTTTACTCCAAACTCACTTCATAACATCATTTGAGTGTTTTAAATAAATCCTTCTGTGAGATGATGTGGGTTCTTAAACAGAATAAGGCACGCAACATATTTCATAGTATTCTAAGCAGTGATAAAGGCTATGTCGATTAGCATTGCATTATTATATACTTTATTATAATAAAAATTATAATAAGACGAACTCAGATAAACCATATATTGTGCGGGGTGTATTTGGAGTTCCAGCGCGAGAGCGCCCTCTGGCCTTCGGATGGAGATTTACTACTGATCACAGAAACGTGCTTCACTGAAAGATACGCATGACAATCGCAGCTTCTGTTTAATCGCGATTTATCGCCTTTACGATTTAATTTCGATTAATCGTGCAGCCTTAATTCACATTATTCATTGTTGACTTCTAAAAACCTGTGTAATTTACTCTCCACTCCACAGACTGGTCAGACCAAAGTGTCGCACCAGACGTCATCCACATCCCCGCTCTCCAGCCCAAACCAGACGAGCTCTGAGCCGCGGCCGCTTCCGGCCCCAACCCGGCCGAAGGTCAACAGCGTGCTCAATCTGTTTGGCCAGTGGCTGTTTGACGCTGCGCTGGTCCACTGTAAACTCCACTCCGGCCTGAGCAGAGACAGCAGCATGACCGGTAAGAGTGTTATAATCAATACTACGGTCACCCTGTTTTCATTTGTTTTTCATTTCTCTACTTATTTTACCTGTTGAGGCTGTTTTTATTTCCTTTTCTTTTATAAAATATTCCTACCTGCAAGATTGTAGCACATTCAGGGTTCGTCTCCAGTTTTGTTACACTAGTGTAGATGCTGTGAAAAAATCTATCTGAATTTTGAGATCTTGCAAATCTAGAGAGGTTTAATGTTATGTATTTTAATATTTGTACATGAACATCCTGACCTGATTTGCCACACATAGAGACCCTAAATTGCATTTATAATTCAGTTTAATAACAGCAAATTGTATTCCTGTAGCTCAAACAGTGGAGCATGGCACAAACAACACCAAGGTCATGGGTTCAATTCCCAGTTAAAATGAATACATCAATGCAAATGAAAGTCGCTTAGGATTTAAAGTGTCTCCCAAATGCACCCAAATGAGATGAGAATTGCTTAAGTTCAGTGAACACAATATTTTATACAATATTAAGTCAAAATTCACTTTTTGAAAACTGAAAAACACACACTGTCCATTGATAAATGTGTCAATGGATTTTGAAACTTTTGTATTAAAGGAAAAGTTCACCCAAAAAATGAAAATTCGCTGAAAATGTGCTTACCTTCAGGTCATCCAAGATGTAGATGAGTTTGTTTCTTCATCAGATTTGGAGAAATGTAGCATTGCATCACTGTCTCAGTAATGGATGCTCTGCAGTGAATGGGTGCCGTCAGAATGATAGTCCAAACAGCTGATAAAAACATCACAATAATCCACAAGTAATCCACAGCACTCCAGTCCATCAGTTAACATCTAGAGAAAGTCTTTTTAACTTCAAACCGTTGCTTTCAGCTAAAGTACGAGTCCATAATAACGCCTCCTCCAGTGAAAAAGTGGTCTGGTCTGAATCAGGAGAGAAATCTGCACAGATCAAGCACAGTTTACAAGCCAAAACAGCTCTAAACGAATATTTGTGTGGATTTTAATGTGAGAGACAACAGGAGATGCACTTTATTATATTGATATTATAGATTATGTGCTAATGTTTTAGCCAGAAGCAATGGTTTGAAGTTAAAAACGTGTAAATTATGGATTTGTTTCTTACAAACACGCAGCTTTTGGCTTCACAAGATGTTAACTAATGGACTGGAGTGGTGTGGATAACTTGTGGATTATTGTGATGTTTTTATCAGCTGTTTGGACTCTCATTCTGATGGCACCCATTCACTGCAGAGCATCCGTCGGTGAGCAAGTGATGGAATGTTTTCAGCAAATGTTCATTTTATTGGTGAACTATTCCTTTAACAGTACATGATCGTTATCAGACAAATATCAGTCAGTTAATTGAAATTGGTCAATCAAATTTGTTTTTAAACTTCTATGTTAAGTGAAAGTAGATTTATGATATGTTAACATTCAGCTCTCTAACATGGTTAGGTTAGTTTCCACTCAGGCACCTGGACAGTATTTATGTATCACACTGTTGAGAATGTGTGTTATTAATCTAGTGTTATTTTTTATGTAGTGAATGGATTGAAATCATTCTGTGGAGTTGTTAATAGCATTGCGCACATCTTTTCTTCACTTGCATTGTTTTTGTTCAGTTTTCATTTTTGCATGATGGGTAACCGAAACTCTTTTTAATGGTCTCCCTGTGTCTTTAAAAGCACGAAAGCAGAACGAAACGTCTGAATAGTTTACTGAACTCTACTACTGCTGTTCTTTGATTTGTTTCCATTTTATCTCTGTTATCTTGCAGCAACATTTTTCCAAATTCTTCTTTCTTATAAATCTTGTAAGTAGGAACACAAGCTTTACCAGTTGCAGTTATTTGGTTCATTTCAGTTTGTTTACTTCCATCTTTTTGGTTTTCTTTCGTTGACACTGTCACTCGTCCATTGTTGCAGTACTTGTTTTCTTGGGGCAAGAGACTTGCGCATAAACTGCTTGAGTTAAAGGTCCGGGGAGTGTTTTGACTGCTGCCCAAATCTCATTGGCTCAGCTGCAACAAATATTCAGGATCCTGAAGTGGGCCGAGAATGTTTGTTGCGCTTGATCCTTCTCCTTGATTCAACTTACCCACCATCATTAAAACCAGATCCTCCCATACCATCTCCTGAAGGACCTCTACTAACTGATCTTCTCCAAAGAAACACACCAACCAATCCTATTTTGAGTTTTTGCCCAGCGTTTATTTGACAGCTTTTGTTTTACGTCAGCGTTTTTATTAATTTCCTCAGTTTTCATTGGTTCTTTTTGTTTTTGTATGGATATTTCTGCATGTCGTGGTTGTTGTTGCAGTTCGTTTTAGCCGTATTGTGCCTTATTGTCTTAATTTAGGATGCTGGACTATAGAAATTGGCCTTTAATCAACGTTTGTCTGACATGAAATCCAACAGACATGCTCTGATAACAGGGAGACTGACCAGGAGATGTTGAACAGCGTGTTCTGTTCTCGCATTCAAACACGATTGAACTTTATGGCACTGCAATGCAATTTTGCGTGATCTGAACAAGATCGTTCCCTTCAAATAGATACAAGCGTGCTGCTGAAGCAAACGACCCATTAGATTAGCTCTCGCTTCCTACCGCAAATGAAATTATGCGGATATCCTGTCAAACACGTAATAAACTCTTGTGGAAGGATAAATCTTCTGTAACGTGAATATTTATAGGTACAAATGATGGATAGTATGTAATAACGGTTAAACGTAGTGACGTTTTCACTTTCATAGGTTTCACTTAGTATTTAAATCAGAGGTTTTAAATAATTAAGTTTTTAAAAATATTTTTAAGCAGCAAATCAGCATATTAGAATGATTTCTGAAGATCATGTGACACTGAAGACTGGAGTAATGATGCTGAAAATACAGCTGCGCATCAGAAATAATTTCAGTTTAACAGATATTCACATAGAAAACAGCTATTTTAAATTGTAATAATATTTCATAATTTTTTACTGTATTTTTAATCAAATAAATGCAATATTTATGCAATAAAAAAAATCTTAATTATTCCAAACTTTTGGCCAGTAGTGTAAATATTTTGAAAAATTAACGTAATTATTAAAATGTCCAAAATTTGTATTTCTCTCAATGTCATATGCATTTAAAGTTGAGTCGTTTCGATGCATCTACATATTTTGCTTGTTAACTTTATTATTTTGTATTGTATTAGAAAAATATTATTAAGAATGATTATTGTTATTATAATTACACTATTTTATAAAATATATCAACTATAATATTTTGTCGTATGTTAAAAAAAATCAATCAAAGAATCGATTCAAATATATTTATGTAGCAAATTTTTTTAAAAGCAGTTTTACAGAAAATCGTGATGTTAATGTTTGTAACATCTCATTATCTTCATGCCTTATAATTGCATTTAGCAGATTAGAGCAAATGTGACCCTGGACCATGTTTTGTGCTGCAGGGTCACAAATGATTGGGCGTCTTTTACTGCTCTGCCTGTCTGAAGATCTCTTTGTCGGTAATCCCTGTCATGGCCTCCTGCGAAAGCTTCGCATGTAAAGCGTCACTGAGTGTTTGCACTTGTGTCTCTCCTTCCCGTCTCTCTGTCTCTCTCTCAGCCCTGGCGACTCAAGCTGGAGTTGAACTGAGACGTAAAGGCTCTCAGATGTCCACGGCATTATACATAAAGAATTGAAGTGTTATCAGTATAAAAATGCTGTTCTTTTGAACATTCTACTCATCAAAACATCCTGAAATATCAGTTTCCACAAAAATATGAAGCAGCACAAATGTTCAACATTGATGGTAGTAAGAACCATTATTAATAATTGAGCACCAGTAATAATTGCTAATAACTGAGCAGCATATTAGAATGATTTCTGAAGGATCATGTGACACTGAAGACTGGAGTAACGATGCTGAAAATTCAGCTTTGATCACAGTAATAAATTACATTTTAAAATATATTCACATAGAAAACACTTATTTTAAATGATAATAATATTTCACAATTTTTACTGTATTTTTGACTAAATAAATGCAACCTCGGCAAGCATAAGTAATTATTCCAAATTTTTGACCGCTAGTGTAACCAAACAAATGAACCTCTGTTCTGTATCTGCTGGTTCTGTTAGGTTCTACATGGTCCTCATCCAGGGTCTTCAGATATCGGACTTCATTTGCAGGCCGGTTTTAGCCAGCATCATCCTCAACTCTTCGGCTCTGTTCTGCTCCGATCTCAAAGGGATCAATGTTGTGGTTCCTTACTTCATATCTGCGCTGGAGACCATTCTACCAGATCGGTGAGCAATGCTTTCTGATTTCTGAGAAATCGGATCCAAATTATGTCTACAAGCTCAATTTTTAATGCATGTTTATTCTGCGCCAACAGAGAGTTGTCTAAGTTTAAGTCGTACGTGAACCCCACTGAGCTGAGAAGAGCTTCCATCCATATCCTGCTGTCCATGCTTCCTCTTCCTCACCACTTTGGCAACGTCAAATCAGAGGTGAAAAGCTTCAGATCTGGCATTAGCATCTGTGACCCTGGAGCACAAAAGCAGTCTTAAGTCGCTGGGGTATATTTGTAGCAATAGCCAAAAATACATTGTATGGGTCAAAATGATCCATTTTTCTTTTATGCCAAAAATCATTAGGATATTAAGTAAAGATCATGTTCCATGAAGATATTTAGTAAATTTCCTACCGTAAATATATCAATGTCAGATTATCTCAATTTCGAATTAACCCTTATGACTGGTTTTGTGGTCCAGGGTCACATTTAGTAATTTACTCCGAGATAAAAATACTAATTTAATAGGCTGTGGTTTTCTGATTGCATTTGCAGGTTCTGTTGGAGGGGAAATTCAGCAATGATGACAACTCTCTTCATGACAAGGCGGTCACCTTCCTCTCCCTGAAGCTGCGATTGGTCAATATTTTGATTGGCGCCCTGCAAACAGAGACAGACTCGATCAATACACAGATGATACTAGGTACGGCTGCCTGATCAATATGTCAATTTACTGAAATGGACATATTACTGAAATATTGTAAAGCATACTTCAGGCTCTAAAACCTGATTGGATGAGCCTTGTTCAAAACCTTGATAGCTGATATACACAAACTTGTGACTGAACTCATATAAAAATGTCCACCAGCCATTAGTTAAGCTAATTAACAGTTTTAATATTTTGTATTGTATTCCATTATTGTTGTTGTTGTTGTTGTTTATTATTAATAAATTTTATAAAAGTTAATTATTTATACTAATATTTCATATTATTATATTAATATAATATTACTATATTATAATAGTAATAATAATCATATTATTATTGTTGTTACAATATTTTATAAAAGCTAATTAACCATATTAATATTTTATATTATTATATTCAAAAAGTATAATTATTATTGTTGTTAGTTATTATTATTTATTTATTATTGTTAAATTATTTTATAAAAACGAATTAACTATTAATATTTTATATTATTAGATTAGAAACGTAAAAATAATAATAATAATATTAAATTTTTATAAAAATAATTAACTATATTAATATTTAATTATATTAACATAATAATAGTGATGATAATAATGATTATTCTTACATTATTTTATAAAAATTAATTATACCAATATTTTATATTATTGTTTAAGAATACAAAATAGTAATAATAATCATATTATTATTATTGTTGTTGTTTTGTTGTTGTTACAATATTTTATAAAAGCTAATAAAAATATTGTGTGATATAACTTGTGTTTGTTTGTTTGCTGGTTTTTATTGTATTTGTTATATTTGTATTTTTTAAACTGTTTTTGCCATGAAAATAGCCTTTGATGCTGACATGGCATTAAATAAATATATACTACTACTTATAAAAGCTAATTAATCATATTAACCATGTTATGTAATATTTAAATAATGTTTTTATTGTTATTTTTATTACATTATTTTAATAGAAGCAATAAGCCATAAAAACGGTATGTAGAGATTTTAAAATCACTCTTTTGTGAGTTGTTGGTTTTTGCACATTTAATAGTGATAAGTGTCGATAATAATTGCATGTGTGTCTGTTTTTACAGCGGCGATGCTGAATATCGTCCAGGATTCGGCTCTGTTGGAGTCTGTTGGTGCTCAAGCTGAAGTGGTACGATTTTCTATTTATTTATGAACACGAGTTCAGAGAGAGCTTGAAGTAGATTTGAAGTGTCAGCGAGATGATATGCAGATGAAGAGTAATCACAGTTCACCAGTTAAAAATGGCATTGTGTCTGTGCTCTGTGTAGGGCAGCGTGGACGGAAGCCATTCTCTGGCTAAGAGCCACAGTCGTAATAACAGCGGCATCAGCAACGCTAGCGCATGCAGCTCCGAGGCTACGACTCCAGACAGCGAACGCCCCGCGCAGGCCCTGATGAGGGACTACGGTAAGCCCAGAGGGACACTGTGCACAACCGACCGATGCATTAGAGCCATTTGAACCTCTAACTTTGAGGAATTGCTTTTGTGAGCCGCTTTGCATAAAAGCGTGTGCTAAATGCATAAATGTAAAAGCTTAAGATTTCACACATTTAATTATTCCAGCAATGCCAAGATTAATTAACAGAGTGACTCACAGATTCTATAAATGATCCTGTTTTTATATTTTGCGTTCACATTTACCATATCAACTTCTTTTTGTGGGGCACAATACATTTTGGAGAACATTCACGCTGCTCTTTCCGTTCAGTGAAAGCATTAGGGCTGTCAAAATGGCTGAAAAACTAAATTCGAATTTTGTACTTAAATATTATCAATATTAGAAATATACTAGAATTTAAAATAGAAAAAAGGCTTTTGGCTTCTCTCCTGAGGCCACAAGAGGGCGTCTCTGGCTAAGAGCCACAGTCGTAATAACAGCGGCATCAGCAACGCTAGCGCATGCAGCTCCGAGGCTACGACTCCAGACAGCGAACGCCCCGCGCAGGCCCTGATGAGGGACTACGGTAAGCCCAGAGGGACACTGTGCACAACCGACCGATGCATTAGAGCCATTTGAACCTCTAACTTTGAGGAATTGCTTTTGTGAGCCGCTTTGCATAAAAGCGTGTGCTAAATGCATAAATGTAAAAGCTTAAGATTTCACACATTTAATTATTCCAGCAATGCCAAGATTAATTAACAGAGTGACTCACAGATTCTATAAATGATCCTGTTTTTATATTTTGCGTTCACATTTACCATATCAACTTCTTTTTGTGGGGCACAATACATTTTGGAGAACATTCACGCTGCTCTTTCCGTTCAGTGAAAGCATTAGGGCTGTCAAAATGGCTGAAAAACTAAATTCGAATTTTGTACTTAAATATTATCAATATTAGAAATATACTAGAATTTAAAATAGAAAAAAGGCTTTTGGCTTCTCTCCTGAGGCCACAAGAGGGCGCATCGAGCAAAATATTACTAATGCACGTTTATTCAAAGCAATAAAATAACAGGTCTATCTTTGAAAAAAGTGCATAATGTTTAAAATAATGTTTATAAACCATATGTAGTTAATAAAGGTGCTTAAACAATTAGAAACAAAACAGCATCATGTATGTATGTATGTAGTTAATATAATACAAAGGACCGAAAACCAATCACACAGAGTACTTTATTCATTTAAAAACATGAGTTGCAGTGGGATGGGGAAAAACCGGCATTAAGTCTTGAGACATGTTTTTTTAAAAGTTGAACTTACTTAATTAAACTTAATTGAACATTAATTTTACATGGCTTTCTAAACATGCGGCTCTTTGTGCGAGATGTGAGTGCAACGCTGATAGATGTCCCTCTAGAAAATGCGATAAATATGTGATGTTCTCTTTTTCCGCAATATTTTGAATGAACAACGTAGCAGCACCACATCTAGTGGCTTCAACTGGATAAGCTAAGAAAAACATTACAATGCAATGACATTTACATTATCGCATTTCGTGCTCCACTGATAAGGCTGCCTGACGCACACCTAAAATTTTAATGTGGATTTTTATTTTAAATTCGATGGATATTCGAAATTCTATTTTTTTTTTTGACAGCCCTAGAAAGCATACAATATCATAAAAGCACCTTAAACGTATCATAAACTAGCCAATATGTAAACAATCCCCATTTTTTGTCAAGACCTCTGGGCCTCTTTAGTCGGAACTGACTGAAAAATTAACATTTTGAATTTTTAAATTAGAATTTTTTTGCATTTTTGAATTTTTTGCTTAATCTGTGACTTTTGTCGCATTAGATGTGTGAACACAAAAAAAATCATAGATATGATTCGGATATGTTAAAGGGGACAAAAAATAAAAAAGTAACACTTAGTACCTTTGAAGAAACTTTGTACGTGGAAAAAAATAGCTCATAAAAATGTTTGCATAGTATCATAAAATCTCCCAAAAATTCTAATATATAATAAAGTATTATTGAACAAAAATACATGACATTGATTTAAAGAAAATAAAAAAAAAAGCTTGTATTTTAAGGTTTTGGTCACTTTTGACCGTGAAGGTACCAAGTGTCACCCTTTTCTTTTTAAAGCATTTATAAAGTGCATCCGAGGAATGTGATGTCATGCATGTTTGTAGAAGTAGCATGGTGTTTGTCAAACATGTTGATGGTGCATTTTAATGTCAATTTTATTTATATAGCACCATTAAACACGAAACAATACAATAGCATGACTAAAATGCAGTGCAATGATGCTTCACCACTGGCACATTTTAAAATGCCTGTCTGCAAGTGAATGTGAATGGATATTTCTTTAAAGTGCGGCTCACATGGAATGTCTTTAACCAGTTTGGGTTCTGTATAATGAATGCTTCTGTTTATTTTCAAAGCATGACGTCATAACGCGGCTCTGTTATTATGATTTCGCTGGACTAGATCATCAGTGTCTGTGACTAGCGAGCGATAACCTGTTCTTGTGCTCGTCTGTGTTCATGTGTATGGTTTACGGCTGCATCTCTGTGCCTGGCTTGCGTCTGGTGTGTGTGTGTGTGTGTGTTACTAACCCGCTGTCTGTGGCGTGCTGTGTGTTATATCCCAGCTCTCCACACAGACACGGCGGCTGGCCTGCTGATCCGCAGCATCCACCTGCTCACCCAGAGACTCAACTCTCAGTGGAGACTCGACATGAGTATCTCACTGGCTGCCCTCGAGCTGCTGGCTGGCCTCGCCAAGGTATGCTGACACAATCAGCTTTATATTTATATTTATAAAACGGATAGTTCCGGTCCTTGATTCTGATTGGTTGAGCCAAGTTCAAAGCTGTTGTAAATTACTAAGTAACACACACCTTTGTTTACGTTTGTGTGTTGCTCGGCAACCACTTTGTTGGAACCACAACTGTTTCTGAGGAACTACATTGTTTGGTGGGAGAATACTGTTTTTTTTTTTATATCATTACACTTTATTTGCTCTGTTTTATTTTGTGAAACCTTACTACGTATATGGAATAACCGTTTTATAAAAGCAATAAGCCCCGTGAAGCCGTGGTTTAAAGTGACTTTATAACAGCTAAAATGGTTTTAGTCACTCGTACCTAACAACGCCCCTTAGCTGTTATAAATTCACTGTAAACCACGGCTTCTTGGGGCTTATTGCTTTAACACAAATTAATACAAAAATTCTTAAAATGGATAGAATTTCAAGGCCTTGCATCAGTTTATAGTCTTTTTTGCTTTGCTGTTCCTTACACCCTCCAATGATTTAAGATATTGACAAAGCTCAAATTTAAATTTTATAAAACTAGGTGTATTTTTTGCCCATCGACATTCATGAATGTGATATTTCCCTAAGATAATAAATTAAGAACAAAACAATTTTTATTTTCTAAAAGCTTATCATAAAAAATACAATATTTTTGTCCTCCAAAGTAATGTCAGTTCCAGAGATCTCCTTAAAAAAGACCTCAAAAAAAAAAAAAGGTGACAAATAGTCTCATCATTCAAATTACAAAACTGACATTTCAAATCAATACCATTCTTAAATCTTTTTATAACCTGATTTACTGGGTAAATAAGATGGATAATTTTAAATGAAACCTCGTGAATCTTATTGACACAATAAGATTATCTCCTGGAAACCAAAAATGCCTGCACTTAATGTCCCGAAAGCGTGAATTCCAGAAACTTTTAGCTGGGGGTATCCTAAGTGAATGACAAATATGTCTAAGAAAATTATTATTGCATTTTTAATCAACAATATTTATACCATCTAACCTTAAACTAAAATCAATAGTTACATCCAAATCAACAGCATTAGCACCACGCAACAACTGAAGGAGACCAGAAGGTGTAGCATCACAAGACGAGTGCATAATCCTTTGGGAGATATTGGCTATTTTATCCTTTGCAGATATTTGAATTTATCCAGAAATTCTCCATATGAAAGTAAGCGACCATCATAGTGAAACAACCAATAAAATGTTTCTAAACCAATATTCAAAAAAAGTGTTTTATTCTTATATTTAACATCTTTATTATTCCATATCAAACATTTGTGGGGAGATAAATTCTGGTTGTCTGTTTGTACACCAGCACTCAGGATAACAGAGCTTGCCTATGAAAGTTAGACAGCTTAATGGGTCAGAAATCATTCTAATATGCTGATTTGCTGCTCAAGAAACATTTCTGATTATTATATGTTGAAAACCATTCTGCTGCTTCATATTTTTTGGAAATTGTGATACACTGCCATTTAAAAGTTTGGGGTCAGTAAGACTTAAAAGAAAAAATAAGAAAAGAAATCAATACTTTAATTTAGCACGAATGCATTAAATTGCTCAAAGGTGACAGTAAAGACATTTATAATGTTACAAAAGATTTATATTTCTTATTTCTAAATGCTGTTATTTTCAACTTTCTATTCATCAAAGAATCCTGAAAAATAAAATGCATCACGGTTTCCACAAAAATATTGGAATAATGTTTTCATGTTTTCAATGTGTTCAATGTTTCTTGAGTTGATCAAATAAATGCAGCCTTGGTGAGCATGAGACTTCTTTCGAAAACATCGAAAAATCATAGTTATTCCACTTTTGGACCACTTTTCCGTCTTTTTGTAGCACTGAGTAAAATGCATGTTTGTTTGTTTGTTGTCCAGGTGAAGGTGAGCGTGGAGTCGTCGGATCGTAAGCGTGCCGTCAGCTCCGTGTGCAGTTATATCGTGTATCAGTGCAGTCGTCCCGCTCCGCTTCACTCCAGAGATCTGCACTCCATGATCGTCGCTGCTTTCCACTGCCTGTGCGTCTGGCTCACAGAGCACCCAGACATGCTCAATGAGAAGGTACGTCCCGTCTGACCTCAGCTTCAGCTGTTTCAGAGGCTGTAAATGCTGAAACTTGAGCACCAGCGATTGGTAATGAAGCCAAAAACAAAGCTTGCGATTGTAATCAAACTTCCACATCAGCAGCCGCTTTACAATATTTAACTTCCCGTTTATGTCTCCTGCCAAATGTCATTTAGTTCAATGATAAATACAATTGCCTAAGGCTGCTTAAACGTGCAAGATGCACTAATGAAATCAAGAAATATCGTGATGATTTCATACCACTTTTGGTTTGTCTATTAAATAGAGCAGCAGTGAGATTCACATGCTCTTCTTGTTTAGCTTTGTTTTCACGCCTCTAAGAAGTCTCTTCTGCTCAGCAGTACAGTAGAAATACAAAATACAGTAAAAATTGTGAAATATTATAACAATTTCAAATAGCGGTTTTCTATGAATCCATGTTAAAATGTAATTTATTGCTGTGAATTTTCAGCATCATTACTTCAGTCTTCAGTGTCACATGATCTTCAGAAATCATTCTAATATTCTGCTGCTCAAGAAACATTTCTGATTATTATCAATGTTGAAAACAGTTGTGCTGCACAATATTTTTTTGTGGAAACTGTAATGCATTTTATTTTTCAAGATTCACAGATGAATACATAGATGAAAAGAACAGCATTTATTTGAAATAGAAATCTTTTGTAATGTTATGAATGTCTTTACTGTTACTTTTGAGCAATTTAATGCATCCTTAATGAATAAAAGTATTTTTTTTCTTAAAAAAATAAATCTTACTGACCCCACACTTATTAACAGTAGCATACTTTATATATATATTGGTGCATATATTAAAAATAATAATAATTTGTGGAAAACACGCCTTGAATTTGAATCAGATTTTCACTGTTTTTTAACAGTATAATAAGTGACCCTGGAGCACAAAAGCAGTGTTAAGTCGCTGGGGTATATTTGTAGCAATAGCCAACAATACATTGTATGGTTCAAAATTATAGATTTTTCTTTTATGCCAAAAATCATTAGGATATTAAGTTAAGGCCAAGTTCCATGAAGATATTTTGTAAATTTCCTACCGTAAATATATCAAAACGTAAT